ATAACAGAATTTATTTAAAAGATACTGTCCTGAGATTAATCAAACACTTCACACTTTTCCCAAGGCAGTCAAAAACACCTCCCCTTTCCAGTTTGCTCCATAAGCCCCGAAAAGGGAGTTAAACATGTTGATTATACAGAGGTTATGATAAGGTGAAGTGTCTCAGCACTACTCACATCCTCCAGGAGGTCCTCGGGCAGACTGACCCGGGTGGTGCCCAGCATGCAGTCCTCCATGATCCGTGTGCAATTGCCCTCCAGCTCCAGGGGGTCTGTGAGCATGTGATCCAGGGAATCCATCCTCCAGCCCTCCTGCTCCTGGACAATGACAGCAAAACCCTCAACAAACAAAAATCCCAAACCCAGATACATCAGATACATCCATCCTGATGTGAGGAGTGACGGAAGACCCACCTTTGATGGGTGGTTGTTTAAATGGAAGCTATGGAGCTGGCCTGCAATATCTGTGTATATATATATATACACGCATACATACATATGTAAGTGTGTATGTATGTATATACACACATACATATATATATATATCAAGCCCATACATGCACACACATTTATATACATAAAACACACATAGAGAAGCATTTACTCTTCAATTACAACACAGGTCACGCCAATGGTGCTTTTCCAGACAAGTAGATTGGGAAGTACAGCTGACCCATCACACTTTCCTTCTCACCTGCAGGAACTGTTTTCAACACTGCTAAACACCAGGACAGACTACATTTAAATCCTGACAGGCGGTTTTAAGGTGCAGAACCGAAGGTCAGGTCTAAGGTGGGGTTTACCTAAGGTTGAAGGTGTGACAGGGCCAGGAGCCCCGGCCGCTCCGGCGCGACACAGCCGGACCGCTCTGAGCTGCGAAGAAACGAATAAAACACGCGAAATAAAGAAAAAGGCAATAAAACCCGCAATAAACCGGGTAGGACAGGAAAGAAAACAGAAAACCAGGTTTATTCCATACCCCTCACGCGGCCCGGCCGAAGGCGGAAGGCGGCGGCGCTGCCGCGCCTGCGCGAACGCCCCACCCCGCTGAACTGCGCCTGCGCGCGGCCCCGGAGTGGCGACGGGCCGGGGCGGCGCAGCGGCCTGCAGGAGGACGAGTTTGTAACTTCCCCTGAAAATGCCGTGGTTGTGCAGTGCTGGAGCCACCTATCAGTCGCAGATCTATACGGTTTGACTGCATTCCTGTGCAGTGAATTAGTCATTGAGATGCTGTGCTAATATTATAATGAAGTGTTGAAAGGCTGAATATTTTGAATTGTAATGCAAATCTTCATACAGCAAACAGAGGTTGTTCCTGTCTCTCCACGCCTTTACCCACTGCCAGCCCCCTCCAAGGACGCGCATTAACAGTTTCCAGAATAACACTCATTTAATAAAATCTTGATGGGTCAAGGTTCAGGATTGCAGGTGGCAGTAAAGCAATGTGCAGACAAGCTCTAATCTGTGACACAACCTGGCACACAATAAATCACAAGAGTGCAGGTCTTACCCAAGGACTGAGATGCAGATTCAGTGCAGAAGTTATGATGGACTCTTCCCAAACTTCTCCCTCTTTTAAACTTGTTCTTATACTTTCTTTACATTTAGGTGAGCTTGAGTAACTTGAGTCACACATCTTAGTGATGGTCATACCTTGGGAGTGGATATGTCAGGATAGTACCTGAAATAACCCTGGGATGGGGACATGAGTCACTCCTAGAGGGATTTTGCCATGGTTTGCTGGTTCAACAGACATCATCCTTAACTCCCTCAGTTTTCAGATGCTGTGCAGCTGATCAGCTAGAAAGAATTTTAAACTTTACCTTTTAAATTTAAAAATAGTTTTTAAAATTCCTTACGTTGCAAGGGTTTAAACAGAGACACCGGGGCCTCACTCCACTCTCCCGCTACCCTCCCTTGGACTGTGTTGTGGGAGGTCAGAAATTCTGTGATCCATCCAGAGAGTAGCAAATGTATTTTTTCCCTATAACCTCTATACTGTTATCATCCTATGTATCCACACCCCACTTCACTCATCCTTCACTGAACACCTTAGCCCAATGAACAGATTGGTCATCGCAAGTGATTAAAAAAAAAAGAGAAACAGATTTATTATTTTCAGGTTGGTTTGGTTTTTTTTTTTTTTACACCTGCCAGGTTGCACAAAACTCTGAACACAACAGTCACCAAATGTACAATAAACATACACAGTTAAATAATAGATGGGGCCTGAGCAGTCCAAGACGTGCAAGATCAGGGTGCGCAGGCTGGGTTTGTTTTCTTTTTCCTCCAGGAAAATACAGAATCTGACCCAGAACGCCTCCAAGGGACAGCATCTCCAAACAAAACACAGACCTTCCAGGCAACTAAGAGGACTCTGGATTTACACTTCTGTGGGATACAACTTGGAGAGATCTTTAGGTTGCTCTGGTTTACAAACAGTAATAATACATCCTATACCTTCTGCGCTGCAGAAATGGAGAAAAAAATCCGTGCAACCTTTGCCATCTGTGCAATCACTGTAGTTCCTTATTTTGGGAGGAAAATCTGTGGTACTTCCATTTCCAGGCATGCTTCTTTCACAGGCAATTCATTCAACTTGTGACACTAGGAATTACTTCACCTGGAATCAGGCCAATAGCCCGAGGGTGCTGCTGCAGGGCAGAGAAACTTTGATGAGGAAGATCTGAGTTCAAAAAGGCTGGTTTAAAATGGTTTTCCGTTTTAAATAGTTTTCAGTTTTAAATAACTGATACAACTGTCCTCATTTATGGACCGTTCCAACAAAGGTGAATAGAGCAAAGTAGTTTTTAAACCCCACATCTGCAGCATCAATAATGGGAACATATTTGATGTTCATCTATCGTCAAACTTTTAAGACTCTCAAAATTGCTCCTGCAATCCTCCAGTATCACAGCATTCCCAGTCTCCCATTTCCAAGTCTGCTATTTTCCTACTACTTGTAGCATTTCTGGCTTGTTATTAAATTAGCAGCAGCCTGAAAAAAGCCAAGACAAAATTCTCCCTACTCTCTTCCCATGCAAGCAACCCAACATTGTAATTCCAAAATCCTCAGCAACATGAATTCAAGTTACTGGGCATTGTGGTTGTTTATCCACACTGCCACAGTGGCTGGGCTGCCAAATCCACAGAATTGAAGGTCAGTCACCGCTGCACTTGACCAAATGAGAGCTCTGGTCCACGTTAATTCTACCCGGCTCATTAGTGCCCCAGTATGGTGGTACAGCAAGAGAAGAGAAATCCCAGGAACAAAAGTAATCCACATTTTGGCAAGTCACTTCAGCGTTACCTCAGAACACTTCTCAGCTGGCCAGCATTGGCCAACTGATTTATCTCAATAATATTTCCATGCCACATTAACAGATACGTTAATTACCAAAGCCATACCTGCTACAAGGCTTTGCCCACAAGGAACCAGATTTACTCTTGTGCAGCTAAAAGTGTGGAGTTCCCTCATGTCAAAGAGTAACTTTAACTCCATAAAACCTGATACCACAACATGTAGTGCTTACTGACATGGGAAATCCACACCCAAATCCATGGGAATAGCTATGGAAGAGTCCCACATTAACACTCAGTGCAGTGCAAGAGAAAACAAATCAAAAAAAACTTCTCAAGTTCTTCTGTCTCAAGGACCTCTAAGACACAGCACTCTTCTCTGTGTTTGTTTTATAAATAAATGTATCCTGATATGCACAGATGTTCCGGGATGAGTTTTCCAGCAATGAATGGAAATTCAGACATACACAGTATATCCCATCAGGAGTCAATGGAGTTCTAGTCATGTTTTTGCAACCACCAGAATGCCTTAAACAACCAAGACACCTGTGAAGGAGAACTATGTAAGCTAAAACATATTACATGGCCTTAAAATATAAACCTTCTCTTTCCCTTTCTCCTGGTCCCTAAATGCAACATGAATTCTGTACATAGACCAGCTCCATCACATCTGGCAACCCTCATGGATGGGCTTTCCATGTCCCATAAATAGTGGTCCACTAGCATGTTTCTTTTATGTTTCCTGAGTCCAGGGCTGGTTGTTTCCTGGAACTGTCCAAAGGAATTACAGTACATTGTTAACAAGGTTATTTGGAAAAAAAAAAAAATCAAAGAAACCAACTCTCCATCCAGTCTTGAAGAGAAGAAATATGTTTGCTTAGAGGTGACCACAGAGATAAAGACCCTGTCCCTTCAGAGGAGTGCTTTGTATCCTCGTTTTCTCCTGGCACAACTATCTTAGATCACAGCAGAAGTTGCTCTGCAGGTTTAGTTGAGCTGTTGTTTCTTTTTTTGTTTACAGGCAAAAAAGCAATTTTCCCTGCAAACACTGGAGGGAAAAGAAGCAACAGTGGCTCTGTGCTACACTTAGGTGCTTCTAGGACTTCAATCAGTTTGTTCCAAACAACATGGGTTTAAGACTGTGCTTTTCCTGCTTTCTGAAACTGCTGGGTAAAACAGGGCAGGGCAGGCAGCATGTAAACTGTTCTGGAGGGCTGGAAAAATAATAATTTAATGGACTGCTTCGGCACATCTTCACAGCTTCATTGTTCAATCCATCCCCATAAAGGGACACCACGAACCACCGCTTGGCTGCTGCTGCTCCTTTCTGCAGGCAGTCTGCTCATATCACCCCTTCACCTTGGCTGCTAGAAGCCACAGGAAGCAGTTCTGCCATATTCTAACAACTTACATGATGTTCTCCTGTTTAATGGCTCCTGTTAAAAATATACATATGACAATCTGCCAGGAAGCCTTCAGTTAGGCAGGCTTTTTCCCATACAGCTGAAATAATATTGTTTGCTGGGCACACTTCCAAAAAGGAAAAATAAGGGTCAGCAGACATGCCAAAAATAAAGTCTGGGGCCAGCAGAGGTTTCACTTCTGTTGTCCTTTTTCTTAAAAGCTGCATAAAAAGCATCCCAGAAGGATTTTTAGGGTATTTCATGGTCACTGTGAATTAAACCCTCTTAAAGCATTAACAAGAGCTCCAAGGTTTTAGTGGAAGGTAAGTGAGCATATACATTAAAACATACAGAGCCCCAGGGTACCCCCACATCTGGGCTGTCAGGGAGGTGGCAAGGACAAGCAAATGGCACCATGAGGCTCTTTCACTCATGCTCTGCTGAGAAAGTCCTGGGTTTGGAGATGTGCACTTCACTCCCGCCACTCCCGTTGGTGGTGGTTGTGATGATGTACTGGGTGGTTTGCTGCTGGTTGCTTGTCTGGGATTCCAAGGGATCTGTGTGGGCTGTGGGCTGGGAAACCTCACTGGAGAGTGAAGAGTTTTGTTTACCATCCAGATCAGGCTGACCTTCAGATATCACGTAGTGAGTCTGCATGGGGAATACAGAAAATAATTAATAAACACTGTATCTTTTGTAACTTCTTTAACAGTCTGCTGCCAGACATTTTGGTGTGAACAAGGAACTTTTAAGTAAGCTCTATTTCATTTAAATGTATTTGAGAGCCACATAACACCTGTCTTTTGATTCAAAGAACATCGGACCTACTTGGCTTTTGGTTAATTTACAAATGGTTAAACTCATTACACAATAAGACCATCACTACAGAATAAAATAGCAATTTTCAACTGCACTATTCTGAAAAGTTTTTTCCTGTATTCCATATGTTCTAGCAGAAGTTGCACTCCCAGTGACCAAGATCAACACAAGCCAATGACCTGTCTTCTTATGCTGGATTGCTTACAAGGAATAGCAGGCACTCTTCTTATTTTCTAATCTTACAGAAAACAGAAAGCTACTGAAATGTTTCCAGAAGCTGTTCTGGAATTTGGTTTAATGGATACAGCTTAATCATAAATATTGCTATGACTAAGCAGTACCACTAAATAATTTTGTTCTGCAAATGTGATTAAGTGAAGATTTTAAACTGAAAGGAGTCATACATATAAGAGCCAGACAGCATGAGCTCTGTAAATGGTTACAATGCAGACTATACTGTGCAGCCTGAACCTCTTTAGGTACCTTCACTCTGTGCCCCAGTCATGATTTTAGCATTCTTTAAACCTTCAAGCTGAAGAGCTTTACGCCTGATAATACTTTGAATGAAAAAAAGGCCATGATGGTTTTCCTTACCTGAGTAACTGCTTTTACTTGCCCTGTGTTGACAGAGGTGACCGGGGTACCCACAGCAGTCTCCGTGATCACGTACTGCCCTTGGGGGATGGTCATCATCTGAATCTCTGATGCTAAAAAGTTGCAAATTGGATAATCAAGACCTTCAGTCAAATCCAAAGACAACCTTCAAAGATCATGTCTTATATCAGAAAGATTTAAAGTCTGAAACAGTTGGTATTGAATAGAATTCAGGTGATATAAGGCCTCCGCAGAATTATGCCAGTTAACATCAGACAGATATTTGGCAACTCACGGAGAGAAAACACATCCTGTTCTCACTCAAATCATTACAGAATTACCAGCCAGGACTACATGGGCATGAGAAATCATGTCACGCTCCTTTTCCACACAATTCTTTCAAGCATGCATCCAAATTTGAACAAGTAGCTATCCAACACATTGATTCTTGCTTGGAATAAAGGAATCCAGTGTGCCTGCCCAAACTATGTACCAGATCAGTATGGATGATAGTGGAAGAGCTGGTACAACCATTTACATTTATCTGAAGCTTTATCTTGATATCTATGAAAATTAATCGCAAAGCTGAATGAACTCTGAAAACTCTGTCCCATTTGGTAGCTGGAGACATGGGGCACTTGTTAGTCAGACACACTTGCCAGACAAGTAGTTAGAGCTACTGCTGACACCTACAGTAGCTCCGAAATGAGTTCCAGTTGCTGGGAAGATATGTGTGCTGGACTGAGGAGCCTTGCTGCTGCTGGAGGGCTTGGTTTGGTGTCGATGTAGTTGTCTGCATCTGTGAGGGGCTGAGCTCCTGCTGAGGTTGTTGCGAGGAGGGACTCAAAGGCTGACCCCCAGCCTACAGGAAAAAAAAAAAGTGCAAGTGTTCTTGGTGTAGTAAGGATTGCACAGCTCTATGCTATCACAAACACAGCCTTCTCATTAAGGGAAAACACAGGCTGGGTTCCAGAGCATATCAAGCAGAAGAACTGAACTCTCTCTCCTCCAACTTGCTTCACTCTATGGTAAATAAGCTCAGACCAGGAAACTAAAATAGTGACACTGTTGCTTGCCAAAGTAAGTCTATGGCAGAGACCTGAGACTACAGGCTAAATTCTACCCAAGATCATGAAGAGCTGCACTTAAAATATTTGAGGAATGCCAGTTTCCATTTACATCTTCCAAGTGACAAACCTAATTTAGCTGCAAATATGTCTGTTTCCAATCATTTATCTCTCCTTTGTACATACTGTTGAGGGGAAAAAACACCCCACACCAAAAAACCCATATAACAAGTACCCAAACAAACCCACAACAAAACACCCCCATACACCTTGAGACATGTAGGCCCTGTTTGATGATCTCAGTGTGAGAGTAATTTCATGTGTGGTCCTTTAAATGACAAAGAAAACACTATCCCCTGCATCAGCACATGCAATATGCCAGCTGAGCAGGCTGATAGGGAAAGCATTTTCTGATGAGAAGAGGGAAATACCTGTGATGATGACTGAGTTGCTGGTGATGGCTCTGTCACCTGGATGTGCTGCACCTGGATGGCATGTTGGGTGTATGTCTGGGGGTCATGGAGCTGCCCAACATCCACTGTGGAGTGCTGGGACTGGTGAGGTGAGGTAGCCTGGGGAAAAAATTAAGCAGAGTTCTTTACCTCAAATTCTGTACAAAAGCAGCCATGTAAACCTCTTCTGGGACACAAGGTCTGGAATAATGAAGTAGGAGCCTTAGTGGAGCACACCTGTTGAGCCTTGTTGAGTTTCTGTGCACCCCAGGAGATAAGGTACATTTAATAGATGTAATGGCACAGAGATAGCTCTATCTCAGTGATACCAAAGGAAAGGACTTGCCTAACATCATTCAAGCTGTTTGTGGCAGTGGCTGAACTAAACCAAAGGGTTCAAAAGCCAGGATTAGTGTTAACCCGTTCTCTGTAAGCATCTTTCTGTACAACATAGACATACTTGAGATCTGCATATCCAATTCTGTAGTTTGACACACCTCTGCATCAAGACAAGTGCTCAGAGGTTTTTAAAGGTTTTTCTGAACAACACTTGTTAATGATACCAATTGCAGTAATTGAATTACAAGTCTTGGATATTCATAAAATTAAGATCTTGCTAATATTACCTGCAGGAATCAGTGTTCATGCTCTTGTATTGTTACAACAGCCACAGTCACTATCAACTGGGGCCATTGTATAGGCCTTTATTAACCAAATTCATAATCTGATTTGATAACATGGAATTTCAGATTAAAATATAAACACATGGTAGTTTCAGCTTCTGTTGTAGTGCGTTCTTGTACTTTGTAATGGTTTTATTTTTGTATGCCCTTATTTTTCCCAGATGGTTTACACCCCTGATTGTACCGCTTCCTCCCTTTATCTGTGTAGTCCCTCTCCTTTGTTGAGATCATCCCCAAATCCCTGCCCTGGGTCTCTGTCAATCACTCAGCATCCCACCCTTTCTATCTAGAACTTTCGGTCCAAGTCATCAAGTGATTAGTCAGAGGTCGGGGTCAACCTCCCAAGTGCTACCCCATACGCTACCCCAAATATCCTTTCCCTAAGTGTTCATCCCTGAAGTTTCTTTATTGGTCAGCAAAATTATCTACTTTTTGGTTCACACCTCCCTTTCAAATGTAATCTTGGCACCTCTCCCGGGCACTCTCAGCAGGGGCCCCCTGAGGTGTGGGAGCTCCCAGGAGCTCAGAATAAAACCTTGGATTAACCCCTGCTAAGAGTCGGCCCTTTCATCCTCTACCAATGTCTCTAGCATCCTCTCTGCTGCAAAGGCGACTAGCCCAGCTGCCTTCAGTACCCTCGGGGCACCAGAGAGTGTCCCCCGCTCTCGGGGCTGTCCCCCCGCTGTCAGCCGAGTCGGGGCTGGCCGGGGTTCCTGGGGGGCTTCCAGAGAGAAGGAGACAAGCTTACTCCAGTGGGTAACAGATTTCTTACAGCTGCCCGAGATCTTCCCCAGACCAGTTACTCTAGTTACACTCTGGTTTTATTTTTAGGAGGCTGTTGAGCATCAAGAGAATGAATATGCTAATAGAAGCTATGAAGGGAACAAGCAACCACTCTCTGTACTCCCAAATTTTGGCTCTGACTCACTGAGGACAAGGAAGCACAAATCAGTCTTGAACTGTAGAAAATGGGTGACCCACTGACCCACCTTTCCAATAGCTAGAAAACATTCCTAAAGCAGACTTGAGCAAAGCTGCCCGGACAAGTAGAACTAAGTCTGGACTGTGTTGATGTGTCTCCAGGAAGCTGTCCAAGGCTGGCAGGACTATTTATGCCTGGTACAAGTGCTTATGAAGGGAAACCTATGCCTTATCAGTTGATCTATCTGTAAAAAGTAGCTACAGCACTTTTTGTAACTACTCCTTACCACACTTCTGTGTGCTAGAGCCCCAAGAACACACAGGCTTGGAAGGGAAGAGATCAAAAGCACAGCAAGATTCCTACCAGGTTACTCACCTGGGCCACTTGAACAACCTGCAGCTGTATGTGCTGAGGCTGCTGCAAGCCAGTTGTGGATTGAGACACAGGGATGTACTGGATGCGCTGGTAATCTCCCTGGGGAGTCCGGTAATCTGTAGTGAGAGTCTGGGATATCTCTGTCATTGCTTGGGTCAGTAAATCTGTTGTCTGAGCAGGGAGAGAGTGAGATAGAACATCATCATACTGATGTACTTTTCAGGGCTGCAGTTCTAGTTCTTTTATCTACACTTACAGTGGATCTGGTAATTTTTTCAAAAGAGCTTAATGTATCCAGAGATTGGGGTCATAAGTAGTCACCAGGGATCATCAACTAGAATTGCTGTCTTCTGTCTAAATCCTAGTCAGCACCAGTAATGGCTAACTTAACATATAATAATAAAAATAATTACTTTCATCTTGTGACATACCAGTATTCTGTTAAACAATGGAAGTCCTGTATTTGTGAAGAGCTGACTTGGTTTCCAAGTCAAAAAGTGATTTGTGGATATATTCCACCTTTCTTCCTCCCCTGTCAGAGTCACACTGTATTTCTAATGTGTAAAGACATTTAGTACATAACTTAATCAGGTTTATGAAGCCAACAGCATCCTGATTAAACCTCTCAATTTTCAAGCAAAACAGTCTTTTATCTAGTTAGTCTTTAGATAAGTTTTAAACTGTGATCAATAGGACTTTTAAAACTACATAGTATCCCACAACATTGAAGGACACATTTTCTAGTCTCAGCTTTCACTGAGATTGCATTTCACTGCCACTTTTAGTGGCAGCTAATGTATTAACAGTAGAGAGATCAGCCACTGGAGATTTATCTTGCTCAGTGCTGTGCTGTCCAAAGGATTACAAAAATATCTGACTCCCTGAACACAGTTTTATCCAGTCCCCATCACTGTTAAACTTGTCCTTTTGATGCCAGGAACTGCATCTCTCACTTCAGGAGAAAATTCCCAGTGAAATCCATGAGATGTGTATCTCTGAGCTCATTATGTGGAGTCAGTAGATCTGAATGTAAGAAGAAAATGGATCTGGGGATAAAAGACCAATTCTTAAAGATCCAGAACAAAATGAACAGCTCCTGACACTGCAAAACTGGACCACACAGGCTTAAAACCAGAAGTGATCTCAAATAATGTCCTAATACAGGTTTTAAAGTGATGTCTGTCAAATAAACCACTTAGGGTTACTAATACCAGAAGGCTCCTGTTCTGTGTGTCTCCCTGCACTACCCTTGTGTCCTTACCACAACAGTTTCTCCAGTTGTGCTGTCAGTGGTGAGAACAGCTGGCGTGGAACTGATGACAGCCGTTGCCAGTGGCGCATGGATCGTGTTCGGGAGCTGAGCAAACTCTGGGTGCTTCTTGCGGATGTGCTGCACCATCTTTGTCTGCAGAGAGAAGCAAAGGAGCGTTGGAAGGACAGTCAGCAACTCTGCTCAGGGCCATGTGAAATCCCAGCCTGGCCAAACACAGCTTTTAGGTTTCCCTCAGTAAAACAGCCTCAAGATTCACACTATGAGATCCTCTGGTCAACAAAGTTGAAAACAAGGATCACAAACCTGCTGCTTGATTAGAGCTGACACTGAAGTCTTGTCCTCAACAGCTTTTTACCCCAATATCACCAAATGTTTTATGACTTTTTCCAAAGGTCATCGTTTCTGTGTTTTGTTTCCCTGCTTGTCTCCCCTGTAACTACCAGACAGCAGTTTTCAAGCCCTTCCATTCATGATCATGCTCTGGTAACTTTTCAACACAAACCCTCTATTCATGGAATCTTTTGGCAAGAAAACAACCAGACTGTGCCTGCACTGTCAGCACACAGCACAAAACCAGCACTCTGACTGAGATGAAGAGAGCTCTGCTTGTGTACAGACAGGTGACAGAGACCATGGTGAAACACCATCCCCAGGGAGAGGCTGTCTGAGGCTGGAACTTCCCATACCTTACTGCTGTATTGCTTGGAACAGTGAGGGCAGCACACTGGAGGGGTGGCGATGGTGCCTGTCAGCTGTGTGTGGGTGCTTAGCATAGGATCTGGCTCTCCCGGTCCTGCAGGACGCAGTTTCCGGATGCTTGGAGGTAGCTCAGCACCAGGATGGTTTTTCAGTATGTGTGCTTTGCGTTTGCTGGCACTCTTGTACACCTGCAGGGCAAAGATTTGGAATTAAAATGGTGCAACCCTGGTGTCTGTACAGGAAATAGCTACCAGTTATCTTGATCTGGAAGGTCTGCATGTTGCTTTAGAGAATACATTTAGTTAAATCTCCCAAACAATTACAACAAAAGGCATGAACATACACCTTCCAGTGTTTCATCAACCTGTAAAAGCAACTGACTCCTTGTGTAGCAGAGAAACCTTTTGAGAACATACTGTATGCCACAACCAAACAGCGAAACAGGACAAGGAGGTAAGAGGAAAATTCTTCTTGCCATATTTGAAGATCAAATGCCCAATATTAATTTGTTATGATGGTTGATGTCTCTATTTGACACAAAGCATCAAACTGTTTTAGTCTGGTGATCAGCACACCTTTTAGTTCTTTTTAGGCACATCAACAAACAAATACTATGTAATAATTTAAACTATTTTTTCTCCCCTCAAACAAAAGGAAAAGAGGCATCACAGAAAGACGTACTGAGGATAATGACAGTCAAATACACTCCCTGGTAAATATAGGCCCCCAGGCATAAAAGGCAAAGGAGAATAAGAGCAAGAACCCAAAGGCACTGCAGAAGCAGCTTCAGGCTCCACTGACCACTGGGACATGACATAGTAAGCAGCTTACAATAGAAGGTGTTAAAGACTAACTTTTAGAAGTGATATAGCAAGCAAAAGTACTTACTGGCCAGAAATTATGCACAGACAGCATACTTAGTCCTGTGCTAACACAAGACTAAGGGTCAGTGACTGTGCTGGATAACAGTATTCAAGTTTTCCAATGCCAAACACAGCAGAAAGGGGAAAACTACAGCTTTCAATTAGCATTCCACTGCCTGCCTTGGCCTAAGTGCATTTTGTCTTTTTTTTTTTTTTTTTTTTTTTTTTTTTTTTTTTTGACAGTACTGCAGGAATGTTGCTGGCAAGCAGCTCAGAAAAGCTACAAACCCCACCAGAGATTTCTATGCAGAGACAAATTGGTTGCATCCAGGACTGGGACTGAGCTATCCTCTGAGGGGTGACTTCCCACACACCTTATCGCAGTATTGACAGAAGTAATCTCTGTTGGGTTTTATGATGGGCAACGTGAGCTCTGGCACCTCTTCTATTTTCATGTCTGGATGTCTCTTTGATAAATGATTCACCTTAGGAGAAACAGAGGACAAGAACACATTACAGGTGGAAGCCAAATGATTGGTGCTTCTTCCAGACATGGGTAACAGCCAAACCAAAACTGAATGATGCAAGCCAGCAGCACTGGAAGCATTTGCTGATGCAAGGGTTATTGTGCACTCATATTTAACTGCTGAAGGTAAATGCGGTCTTGCTAGGTCTCATTTATAGTTTCTTTAATCAAAATTAGATTGGAAGGGGTGAAATAGTTTGCCAGAACTGTCTTGTAGCTGGTATCTGAGAGTGAGGTCATGTGAAGGGCCTCTGCCCAGATCAGAATCCCCATGAAACCTAAGTAAACAATCTCATGCTGCAGAACAGCCTTTACCCAGAGGCAGTGACAAGACATGGCCAGAAGAGGCCCTCGAGAAGGAGGAGAAACAAAAAAACAGGAAAGACCGCCAGGAAAACAGAGGCACTAAGGCTGAACAAGGCAGTATTTTCATCTCATGTCCTGTTAAATACAATACACATCAGACAGCATTACTTAGTGTTGAAATATGGTACTGACAACCAGATGTACAGTGCAGGCAGTAAACATGAGCAAATTTGCTGAAGAGGTAAAACACACAGTTTTAAAAAAAGATGTATCACCTCAACTCAGCTACAAAATTTGCCAAAATTTGTTTCACAGCATCCTGGCTGGATAAGACCAGATTGGATGGGGCTTGGAGCACTCTGGTCTAGGGGAAAGGGTCCCTGCCCATGGCCAATAGATGGAATGAGATGAGCTTTAAGATCCCTTCCAGCCCAAACCCTTTTATGATCCTTGTGTTCCAATGCTGGAATTCCATCTTTATTCCTTACCTATTCATCAGAATGGAGTACAGAGGTTGCAACAGAACCCAGGCACTCACCAACATGCCCCTGCGGCGGAAGCCCATCATGCAGAGGCGGCACTTGAACATGAAGCTCTCATAGTCAGTGGACGCGATCCGGGGCTTGAAGGTTTTGGAGCGGCTGATCCGATCAGCCTTCTTGGCCTCCCTCTCTGGGTTGTGCATTCTCTGCATGTGCTCTCGCAGCTTGTCCTTCCTCTGGGAAGGAGAAATTGGGGAGAAAAATGTCAGCAATGACACAGAAACTGCCATATTGCCTGTTATGCGTAAGAGCCACAGTTTGAGTTGTTCAGGGATCTCTCTTCAGAGAGGGAAATTTTCCTCTCAGAAAAATGTGTTCCTTCACCCAGAAGTATCCAGTCCCTCAGTGTCCCATCACAAACTCAGTGACAGGAAGCAGGCTGCTGCCACCACAGTTTACCTGGCTCACAGTCTGCTCCATCTGCTCCAAGGGGATTTGGAAAGGCATCTGGATGACATGTGCTGAAAAGATGGATGCCATGGACACAGGCTTCTTGGCCACTAACATTATTAATCCACTGGCACCAGCAAGTTAACTGAACTGTTACAAGCAATGTAACCCAAACACCTGGCAATGGAGGTGTATGATGTTCCAGTTCTTAATGAGCAGATAGAAAGTTCCTTTGCTATTTAATTATTAGGAATAAGATCTGTTTGAAATAAGATGCTGAGGTGACCTTGCTCCTTGTCCTTCAGAAGTGGATGTCACAGCTCACACAGGACACCAAGCAATGCATGCAACTCACAGGCAAGTCTAGTGTGTTAACACATGTTATTTTCCTTCACCTTTGAGAACATGAACTTATCTCCTTGAAGGAGGGTAAGGAATAGTGGGTTTTGTACTAGTAATGATCAGCTGAGAGGCGCCTCACCTTGAACTGCTTGCCACAGGTGGAGCACAGGAAGTCTTTGCGGTCCGAGTGCCGCAGCATGTGGAGTCGCAGCTTGTCAGGGCGGCAAAAAGCCTTGTCACACTCTGTACACTGGTAAATCTTCTCAGAATGGAAACTGCGCACATGTTTCTTGACCTAAAATGGCAGATCACAGAAAAATGAAGTTTATTCAAGATAGAAGTGAGTGGTAACACAGTCTAGGAAACTCTTTGCAATGTGAAAGAAAAGGAAAAGGTTTTGAAGGTGTCTAATATACTTTGGTTTAAAAAGTATTTGGTCAGAACAGTTGATATCTCAGCAATAGTTTCTATAAAGCCATAACATCTTTATTACTCATCTGGATGGGTGATTTGATTTCCTCAAGACTGATTCTTGAAGGCATCAGTTATTGCACAGCTGCACTTAATGGGCGGCGAAAGTCCACAATGTACCATTTGCACAGAATTACCCTTGAGTTAACACATTCATCTGAGGTTCATTATCTTCCTTTCATTTATAAGAAACCAAAACATAGGGACTAATTCCTTTCAATCAGACACAATGAGCTTGCAATTATAAGTGGCAAAGAAAAAAACCACTTATTCAGAACAGCATTTGCGCACCATTCCTGAATGGTAATTACTCTAGGACTATCCTTCACCTCTTCAAACATCTAGAGGGGTATTTTTTTCCTCCCCCCAATAAAGGAACTAATGAAGTTTGACATCTGAAATGAAAGCATTGTTCAAGAAATGGATCTCTAATTAAATCCTTACCGTCTTCTAATACTGATCATACACGGAACAACTGGGCATCTCTACCTGTTCCACATAGAAGTATTTCAGTAGGCAGCAGTGACTAGTCTTAATTATCCACACAGCAAGAAGAGAAAAAAAATCACTGTTAAATGTCAAAAATACAACTGAATAGCTGGAAAAAAAGCCATGGGTCTTTCAGTCATTTGCATGGGAAAGTTTACAGGGAATTAAGTTGCAGTACATCATCAACATTCTTCCTTGCTGAACATTTACAGAAGATAAAGGACTTCTTCCAGGATGGAATTATATTAGTCAAATCACTTTCCCCCATCCTTTCCTCCTTAGTCTAGTGGATAGTCTATCTGTTCCTATTACTGACATAAACTGGATTTCTACATTTCAGTTTCAGTCAGGCAGCTCAGTAAGATACATCAATTACTTTGTCCCTAGGAAGGATAATGAATATGTGCATGGTCCATCTCAGTTTTTTCTTACTGGACATGGAAATAGAACCTTTAAATTCTACTAATGACCTTGTCCAAATGCTCAGCATAATGTACAGTAGCTGCATTACTCACTGCTCCAGTGCAGTGTGCAGGGAAAGAGAATAAAGTGCCCAGATGAAGCTCAGGGGGGAAGTCAGGAAGCAGAGTAACCTGATCTGTTCTGGCATTTCTTGGAGCTGTTCAAATGAATTATCCTGACAGAAAGCAGGCAAGGGATTAAAGATGTAAACCCCCTTGTTCTTTTGTTCAGAGTCTTAATGACGAAGGGCAAGGTGTGTTCAAGTACAAGCTGAATACAATAAAAGACAATTCTTTCTTGTGCCACAGAGATGCAGTAGTCAGGACCTCTGCTTCAGGAATTTTTTAGGAATAAGGCACCCACCCATCTGCACTACAGTGCCTTCTAATGACAGATTGAAGCATCACACCTGGTGATTTAGTGGACAGAGTACTTCAGTGTCATAAGACAATGTCTAGCAGTGGTTGGTCACTCTTCCTTTTCAGTTTCTGACCGAGGTGGACCCCTGCATCTTGTGAGAATGAACTGCTGTGCAGTTACACAGGGAGAGCACTGAGAAACCCACAGCCTTGTGAGAGACCCCCAAAGCAGCGTTTCAGATCAGTACAGCATCTCACCTGGATAAAATCTGGGAAGCGTTTCTTGCAGGTGGGGCAGGTGAAATAGCCATCATTGACATGGATGGCCACGTGATCCTTAAGCAGATCCAAGCGGTCAAAGGACTCAGGGCAGAAAATGCAGGAGTATGTTTTCTGGTCCATGTGGAACTTCATGTGGCCCTCGAGGGCACCGCTGTTGATGAAGCCCTTGTTGCAGATGTCACAGGTCAAAGGGCAGTTCCCTTCCCGCCCATGGAACCGCAGGTGCTGGTCCAGCTTGTCCTTCTCCCGGAAGGCCTTCCCACACTGCAAGCATTTGAACGGGCGGAAGGATTTCCGGATGAACAGGTGCTGCAGAGCTGCATTCTGAAAGAAGCATCCAAAAGACCATTAGCTTTCATTACCACTTATAGATTCCACATCCATATATATTCAGGATTAAATATACCAGATGATTAGTGAACCTAAACTACAAGAAATTATTTTCCATCATATGTGGTCTCCAATTTACAGCAGGGGAGGCTGCGACAGGCAGAAGTCAGGGGACACACCTGCAGCTACAACCTGAGTAACAGAACACAATGAAGGAGTTTCCTCTCCATCCCTGATTTCTTCTGATTTAGCTGACTTTCTTTAAGCATGCAAATTTTCTGTAAAATAAAACTAAGTCCCCTCTGAAGCACACACCCAGGCCTGAGAAAACCAGCTGATCACTGGGCATCACGTCATCAGTTCAGCCACCACACAAAGGAATGGTGAGCCAGCACTGTATGTTTCCCTCAGGAGCAGGGCTTATGAAATTCCACAGCCCTTTACAAGATCACCTTCTGCATCACAGATCACCACAGAGATGTGCAGCAGTGGTTTAGCATTGCCTGGAGAACTTCTAGCGGAACATACATTCAAGAAATGCTGGTCTGAACTTTTTTACTATTGCCACAAAGAAGAACAGAGTTTCGAAACATGATGACAAGGGCAGAATGGCAGCCTTATCAGCAGCACGTAAAGAACTTGTGAGCAATACTCCACTCCTACTGTGCGCAATGTCTCTTCTCAGCACCTTTTTTTTAAATGTGTGTTTGCCTTCACTTTGCCTTTTCTGTAACATTTTGTGATCATTCTCTATTTGTTTTCTCTCCTTACCCTTCAGATAAATGTTATAGAGCCATCCCAGTCCTTACCCAGCACTCTCTGCTGGAAGAACAGATGCTGCTGGATGCACTGCCTATAGAAAGAGGGAAGGAGGTCCTGCACCTGCACTTCAATATTGGATGAGAACTTTCATGTTGGATAGTTGCAAAGCTGGAATCGAGTCCTATGAAATCCCCCAGCATATTGTCACCCATACTGCACTCAAAGTACACTGCAATGCTCCATTCCTCTGCAAGCAGTCTAAGCAACATCCACTCTTCTCTCAAATACTTCTATAAACATTATTTATTGATGTCTTTTTTCACATTACACACAGAATCTACATCATGGTAGTCAGAGAAATAATGTGGAAGAGCATAGTTCAAGTTGCATATTAGGAAGAAATTCTCAGCTGTCAGGGTGGCGAGGCCCTGTCACAGGCTGCCCAGAGAAGCCGTGGCTGCCCAATCCCTGGAAGCACTCAAGGCCAGATTGGATGGGGCTTGGAGCAACCTGTCATAGTGGAAGGTGTCCCTGCCCATAGCAGGGGGGTGGAACTGGATGAGCTTTAAGGTCCCTCCCAGCCCAAACCACTCAGATTCCACTAAAATACTGCTGACACTTCTGCTCACATGTGTTCCATATGAACCACTTCTTCATGAGACCCATCCATGACTTCTGCAAACAAATTTCCCTGGTTTCCTCTCTCCTTTGCTTGTGGGAATGTGGCAGCTGACACAACTGACATTTGCTGTGTCTCTTAAGTGCACAGCAACAGTTGACACTGATTAAGTAAAGTTATGAGCTCTTCTGCTGGAACGAGGGAACAGCTTGGGAATACTGTGAAATGCTGTGCTAAGAATTAGATTTGTGAACCTCAAAGATCCTTTTTCACCATCTGAACTGCAGAGGGAAACCTACACTTTCATTCCAGGAAAGAACAAGATAGCAAATGTTTCACTATCAAAAAAAAATTAACACTTTAATACAGGAGCTCCAAATAGGGCTTCCCAGGAGCTGTCATCATCACTATTCTCAATTTTACAAGTGGAGACAATGGGAAACACAGGGATCTGCTCTAAGTCACACTGGGAATTGGAAAGACAGCCATGTGCTGCACAAAATCTGATGTGCTGCTTGGAGTTCAAAGGATATAACTGTCCCCTTTAACCACAGGGAAATGCTAAAAAACCATAGATGAAAAGATGTATTTCAAGTCCTGAACTTCACTATTAATTTGAGTTTTGATCACTGGTTCCTTAGCAGGGAGCTGACTGCTAATACAGCAGGCCAGACTCAACATAGCCCTGTTGTTATCTCAAGGGCTATAGAACGTGAAATGTTTGACTGCTCTTTGCCTAGGTAATCTATCAACTATACAAACAGAACAGAAGAACTGTTGTCTCCTTAACTTCTGGTATTGATTTGGCAGAAACAATTGTGCAAACAAATCCCCCAATATTACAGCTCTTCATCCAAGCAATTTGCTCCTATAAAATCCACCTTAAATCTACAAAGAACTGGTATGAAAAGAACTGGAAAGATGCAAATTGTTATTCAGGTAACAGTTAGTTCTGGACATGGGTTACCTAAAGAAGAATGAATGTGACGATTTATGGTGCAGGGACAATCAGGGAAACACTAAACAGGAGTTGGACCAAACAACATGGAAGGCGGTGTTGATACGTACCATTGGATTAGATACAGGAAAAACCCAATGAAACAAAAACACAAACCTACCTGCAGCTCCAGCTGAGCAGGCAGCATTGAGAGAGAAAAAAATACTCATGTTATGCAATGGACTTGAGAAAACAGAAGCCTTGACTTCTGCAGGTCACACTACAAGGGCTCTTCCAACTAGAGTTCACTGCTTTGAGGTTTTTGCCTCAGGAAACACTAAACAGATCTTCCAGGTTTACTCTGTAGTTAGTAACTGCTCAAGGGAAGTTAAAAGGGCAGAGATAAAAACCACAGATAATCTTGAAGGTGTTTTGTGACCTTTCCTGTTTTCCTAGGGCTGATTTACAGGGATGCAATGTACACTGCAGAACCATAGTGAGAGCAGAATACTTTCAGCAGAAGGGAATAATTAGAGCAGGATGACAACAGGGTAGGGAGAGTAAAAAAGTTAAGGAGAAGGGACTTTTTCTAACCTCATTTTACTGACCGTGCTACTTGTTGCACAACCACTTGCATTTCTTTCACCATAAAGGAAGTGACTGTGCTTTCCAAGTCGTATTCCTTTCAATCCTGTTTCTAGCATTAGCACACAGACACCCTATATGCTGCTCAGAACTGAACTAAAAACAAATATTCATTTTGGCTGTGGACCACAACGTTCTTCTAATTTTCTACAAAAGTTGTTGAAGGGTGCGTGTCTCTCTTTTCAATACTAGGGACCTCCCCAGCTGCCATAGTTAAGGTCTGATCTCCAAGGAAACCCCACAGACTCTAAAGCAGAGGCTGACGTGATCCTATCAGGACTTGAACCCTGGGGCAGGACAAATCAGTGCTTCCAGATAGCAAGAAAAAAGTCTCAGAGCACCATTGTCTTAAGCCTTAGAAAAGCTGAAGTAATTCACAAAGAATGACTGGTTTTGAAAACTAAATCCTATCTAATTAATAAGGAAGAACAACAGCTGATTTCAGAATCATAACCAGGAGTCAGGACTTTGTACCTTTTCTTTGGAAGTGAATAACGTACCACATATCTAAAAACCAAATGTTTGCTTGCTTTTATTATGAAGTGCATGTTATTGTAAGGCAGGTGCTGTGTGAGTGTTCAGAGAGTGATTTTTCAGTGCTTAAAAAATGATGCTTGCTGGTTTAGTCTTATCTCAAGTGCTTATTGCTCACAGTCTGATGCAATATAGAAAGGTCTGTGCAACCATCCATCTGCCATTCTGCCTGTGCTGCTGGCTTGAAACCTCTCCAGGACTCTGCTGAACACGAACTGCCAGATAAAGGGAAGGTTCAGAAGACTTGAAATACAAACGTATCAGTGAACCACCACTGCACTTCTCTGAGCTGTCATCTATTTGTGATGAATTTACAGAGAACAAAAGCTAAGTTACAAGACAAAGAAGTAACTTCAGAACTTCTGTCCTTTCCATCCTACATTAATTTCAGCGGATCCTAAATTCACATCTTGGGTTCAAAAGTTCAGGGAAATGGGCAATGCTTTCTTTTTTTTTCTGAGGATGCTGTAGCACACTGTAAGCAGTACATCCCCATGCTCTGTCAAAACTCCAGCATCTCTCTCTGTATTCTATTATACACCCTTCAAAACACATGCAATAAAAAATCCCCCAAGCTTTTACCATATGAAAATGAAATCACTGGTAGAAACTTGTCACTCAGAGATTGCAAGCATTTTGTATGGTTAAAAACTGTGCATCTTAACGTGCCCAAGCCGAACTCTTCCTTCAAGACATGCCACAGCATTTTTGGGGTAACATCACCATTGGTCTTGCATATATATTACTGTAAACTGCAAGCAAAATTTGGCTCAACATCTTCCCATACAGAATAGTTACTCAACTCTTTTCTAATTCTTCCTCATCCCCTAAAAATGAACACTTACCCCACTGCAGCTGTTTCTTTCCTTAATCCAAAGTTAACACATGGAAGAAAAAGATTTTAAGCTAAATAAACTGATCTCCCAGTTACAAAGCTTCAAGGATTATTTGCTTGAATCATTTCCCTCCCACACAACCAGCTCAGCCAGCTGACATGGAGCTCAGGCTCAAAGTGTTTGCTCTTAACACAGGTTTTGCTCTCAAAGGCAGGGTTTTTTACCCCAAAAAAGGACTTTATCACTAAGTATCATCATCATCTAAGTGGATCCAAACGGAGGTTGTGGTTCCTCTTTGGCAATTATTTGCAAGACAGTTCTGAGAGACACAGATGGTGCTGTGAGCAAGTCATTAGTCCATGCCACAGCACGAGGATTCTGCCAGTTGTTCGAAGCACCCCTGCTTGCCAGTTTGGATGGATAGTGTTTCCATGCAAGAATTACCATGATGGAATTCAATCAGCTCCAGCACCTGACCAGTTCTCACTAACACCTATGAGATACTGGTCCTTTATGTGAGATTTGTCTTCCTCTCAGTGCAAAGAAAACTGCTAGAAATGAGATGCTTTATTGGGATTTGGAAATGGATCTGACAGTGAAAGGAGGACCAGCTGGCCGTGGCAGGCAGGCATGGCATTCCCTGGGTTATAGCGGATGCGATCCCCCATCCTCTGTGCTTACCCTGATGCGCTTTGCTCGCCTCATGTCATCTGCTGTCACAGTGCTCTGTGTGGGCACCGTGTTGCCCTCGTGCTGTGGCTGTACATGGAGCACATGGTTTTCCTGCTGCTCCAGTGCTGCTTGAGGCTCTGTTGGCACTGGAGTCTGTTCCTGCTGCTCCAGCCCATTCAGTGGGGCTTGTCCGGCCTCATCAAACTGCCCCTTGCTGGAAAAATGCAGCAAGTCCTGAAATCGCAAATCATACAACCAGTGATTATTCCCCCCACCCACTGAAAAACACTTTGATAATACTCAGCAGACAAGATTTGTACATAGTTAATCATAAACTATAAACAAAACAGCATAGTGTAGTGTCTACACTAACTCCTACTGTGTCCACTGTTGCTTTTGGCACATCACCTTCACCTACAGCAGCGTCACCCAGAGCACCAGGGAGGCAGTGCTGCAGGTGGGTGACTCTTCATTGGCCATCCTTTTCTTTGACCAGCCATGGTCATTATGCTTTCTTTCTCAGCATTCCTACTCACCCATTCAACTCAGCAACAATGATACAGTAAATAATAAAAATGGAATAAATTCTGGCAGCAAAACCAATCAGCTTTATCTGGCTGATTAGCCAGATAGTAGCCAACAAGGCTCTTCTGCACTCAGGACTATTTCCACTTCAACCAAAGCAACTAGTGCAGACCCAGGAAAGGAGAGAATTTCTGTCTCATGGAAACTGTTGTCACTTTGAAACTCTGTGTGTCATTTTGCAGTGTCTTCTCCTTCCTAATGAACTATCTGGAGTGCCAAACTGGAGAGTGACAAACAAGGTAATCACACTGGATGCTGTGTGTTTCTTTAATCCGGTTTCCAGCTCTGCACACATCACTTCCATATATCACACAAAGCTGTTTTTCCTCCTCTTTCGTATTAGCATAAAAGGGAGGTGTTGTGAGCAGGAAGCACATGCCAAAAGTCTACATTCTTTCCCTGTGAGTTACGATAACTCTTCTGGAATGGAATCATCTTCTATTACATAAAAAACCACACACAGATCCTTATTTGACACCATGTAACACAACTGAAGAAACTTAAAAGCACAAGCTAGGAAACAGAACACCAGAATTAATTTTGAATTATGTCAGCTGAAGGGTGGTGCTGTCAAAACACAAAAGTGGGTGTGGGAATGAGGCCCTTACAGACTGTGAGTGCTTACCAGAAAGAGACCCTTAGTAAACAATACACCATCGCAGTGTCCAGCCCAGGTCTGGGTGGCCAGTTTCCACCTTGCTGACACTCAGCGATGCTCTCAGCATCCTGACTCTCCAGTTCCCAGGCAGAACTCATGCCCAGCTTTAGTGAGATGAGCAGACCTCCAAGGGCTCATGGCATCATCCTATCCCACTGCACAGACACAGGTGAGCCAGCTCCGGGCCATGCTCCAAGCTGGCAGGACAAAAGCCACCTCCAGTCCAGAGGCCACTCACACACTGGACTGCGCCCAGCAAGCACGCTCTCCCCAGAGTGAAGGGTGTTTATTTGTCTAAATGAGGCTGGCATGTGTCATGTTAGCCTGTAGAGAGGGTGAGCTCACAACTGCCTGCACCTAATGCAGCATTTAGGGCATTGCAGCAGGAATTCAGAGGCAGAGTACACATTCCTCCCTCTGAGTCAGCACAGAGCCATGACCCAGTGAGGAGACAGAGGAAAATTACCACTCCAGATATCAGCTTTCAGCTAAGTCATAAACCAGAGCACTGGTTTACTTCTGTCACTGCTCATAAAAGGACTTAGTGGTAACCTAAGCATGGTCAGCATCATATAATTTAGTTTTTTACTTAAATGCATCATATTACATCCCTGCAGAATATAACCAACAGCTACAAGCTAAAGAACATTTTGCAATAAGCCTGCCTACAGGAGGCCCTTCTGTTATTATTAAAACATCAAAGAAAATCGTATCTCAAACTTATTTAAATCTACCAGCAACAGTTGTAAGAGCAGGCTGATCTCACATTCCAGAAAGGACAAATAGGAGACTAAACTCCCATTACAGTTTTACTGCCTGAATTACTTCTGTGAGGCAGCTAAACTGTCGCAATAACCCACCTCACTGCTAAGTGCTTTGGAGTGAAACTTGCTGCAAAATCCAAGTGATTTTACAGATTTTATAGTAGGGAATTAGTGTTTTCTCCTAGCAGAGAATTCCAGCTAGAAACCAAGAATTACTCATTTTTAAGTCCAAAGCACACCCTCAGTTTGCACTGATGCCCCAAATTATTTTAGTCAAGAGCTTACATTCCATGTGCTATTTTTTTCCCCTCCATCTCCAAAAATATACCTGTGTTCCTTCTTCGCACTTTTCACCATTTTCACTGGTTACTTCCATGCGCATGAATTTGGGAGGGCGCCCAGGGCGTCTGCCTGGTCCAAATCTTCTCTTTCCTCGCCCACGACCTCGGCCTCTGGTTCTGCTCCAGGTTAGATACAAAAAAAGACTAATTTGGATTCTCCACGGATTTTATAATTTCTTTCTCAGCACTCCTACTCACCCACTCAACTCAGCAACAATGATGCAGCAAATAATAAACTGCAGTAAATAATAAAAACTGAATAAATTCTGGAAGCAAAACCAATGGATTTCTGGCTGCTATCTATTTATTTTGAGCTTTATGAGAAGCCAAGGTTCAGAGCACATTAAAATTTCTATCAGTAATCATGGGACCAAGAGGATTACTTGCTTCCATCCAGCCCTTTGCCATGGCAGACTTCATCTAACACCCGTTTATGTTGTGCTGGGAAGCATTTTCAGCATGATGGAGCAAGTGCACAGGGAAACCCATTTAAAATCTGAAGCCATAACATTTCTCCCCAAAAAGCATTCAGCTGTTGATGTCAGGCACCAAACAGAAGTGAACAATTTTGTGTCAATAAAGCAAAACAAAACAGAGTCACTTGCTACATTTCAGGAGAAAGAAGGCACCAATATCTTCTGCTCTGTGACAGGTGTTTGTAGATTCAGTTTTTAGTAAGTCAGGATAAACTATCTTGCCAGTGGCACAGTGGCACAATGAGGCACTAGAAGCTTTGTTTTCCAAGCTCTGTACTTCCATACCTCTGACCAACACAGTATTTCAATACTGTGATACTGAAACATTACAAATATTTAGTCATTGTCAAAGAAAAACAAAACAAAAACCTCACTAATTTCAACAGACTATTTATTTCTCTCAAGCTACTTGTTTCACAGAGTCTCTCATACCAGTCAGCCTCCTCCTGCCATGATTTTCCCTTCTGGTACAGAGCTGATCTCTCCTGAGTTGGTCATTAAGATTTGCAGGACAAAGCCCCTCCTTTCTGCATGTTTGGGGAAGCACCCCAGTGATCCACAAGCGAAGCTAAGGCTGTCAGTACCTGCTGAAGAAGTCCAGCTTCTCGTCATGGGAGTTGAGGTGCTGCTGGAGCTGCTCCGAGCTCATGAAACGCCGACTGCACTCGTAACATGGCCAGTTCTTTTCCTGCTCCCTGAGCACTGTTGGAAATGTCAGTTACACCATTTCACTCGTCACCAATTAAACCTAATTTTTTTGCCCCCAGCGTCTCCATCCTCTGTGGGCCAGATTTCTCCCCTGAAGGTTAGACAGGCTGCAGAATACCCAGCCCTGCTCTGCTGTTCTTTGCTTTTATGTCCTCTGCACTGTGCCATGACCATAGCTCATCACAGAGACACAGAAAGATCACTGGGGACAATTCCCATGGAGTATCAACACTGTTAGTTATTCAGGGGGATTCTGAAGTTCACCCTTGTATGGAAGAGCACCTACAGGATCGTGCCTCTGATTTAAGTTAAGGGAGATCAAGGGAAATTTCTAAATCTAAAGCAGTCATACAGCAGACAGTGAGTACAGAAACAGACCTCTTCCTGACAGAAAGCAACTTAAAGCTGCCCAGAGGCAAAGGCTTAAATTAAGGTAATATTCTAATGAGAATAGTTATTGGAAATAAGTCCCAATAACACAATCTAGATCTGGTTTAACTTTTCCCAACTTAGCAGAAGTTTGGGAGCACTATACAGGCCATATACTTGAAAGTAAGGAATGCAACTTGCAACCACCACCACAATGAAAGCAGAAGATCCCAAGTTACCCTTCCTTTCCTCCTCAGTTATGTCATGGATCTTCTGGTTCACAAACTCAGCGTAGGAGGCAGCATACCACACCTGCAGCAGGGGCACAAGGTAACAGAACACTGAGGAGGAGCCAAAACTAACGGAAATTCATTTGAAAATGGGTTTTAAGCAATATATTTACTTCACTTGCCTCAACCACTAACTCTTATTTCTCTTTCCATCCTCAACAATAAAGTCTGTAAGATCAATGTGGCCCCACTGAGGAATGAAAGAGCTTTGCTCAGTAAGTGCATCCACTTAAAATTAAGGTCCAGCTTCCTAACACAAATGTTTATCTCACACATGGCTCCCAGTAGCTCTAAAGGCAGTAAGATTAATCTCTTCAAACCCAGCTACATGACTGTAAAGGAAGGATGTCATCAGAGTACTGATACTTGTACCAAGAGGAATGGAAATGTTATTAACTTGGGGGGTTTTCCATTTCTTTCCTGCTCTCCTTACATAGACAATAGGTGGCATCATCCACATAGACTCATTTAAAATGCTTCTGAAGGATTGGAGCAATATGGTCTTGCTTCCCAAAACACAGATCTGCCAGGCACCAGAATGATGGACCCACTTTTGTCATACAAGGAATTCAAGCCTTCAGCAAAGGCAACCACAAGAGGCAGGAAGACAAAGTTCATTAAAGCCTAAAAGCAGATGCTCACATTTAGATGAGAATTCTTCCATAATTTCATTTGTTTGATGAAAAAGAGTGGATTTTAGAAAAGATTTCTCAAAGAAGGCATCAACAGATTTTCATCATGAAAAATTCAAACAAGTTTGAACCTGCAGTGGGCCACAAGCAGAGGTGAGAAGGATTTCAAGGACTCTCCAGCAGGTGTGTCACTCTGCAGGAATCTCACTATATGGACAAAGACAAAAGCCTGGAGCTCCTGGACTACACACCTGGCAGGCAAATCAGAACTTCCCAGCTTCAACTACTTTAATCTCTGGACAAAATGTGCATGAATGCCCTACATCCACTTGGGGAGGAAACGAAGTTACCAAGCCTTTCAGTTAGCAAGCCATTTTATACCCCAAAAGACACTACTAACACAAAGTAAGAAAAATTATCCTCCCACAGGGAGGTCTGTACAGATTTAAAGTCTGATTTCAAATTGTTTTAAAAACTGTTGAGAAAATGATGTTTGAATACACTTAAAATGGATTTGTAAGATTTCTAGTAATTCAGCTTAAAAAAAATTAAGAACTAATTTCAGATTGTCCTGCTCTTAAAAGGGTATAAATAGGCTTTTGCCCTGATTTAGTATGTGCACTTACTAAGCAATTGTTTTTCCAGACATATTGTTGAAATCTACATGCAAGAAGAGATTTGAAGAACAACAAAATTTCGTGATATCAAATTTTTTTTGTTCCCCCACAAGTGCCCCCAAAAAAGCTGAAAATTAAGGCTATCTCAGCTAGCCACACTGATAATCAATAAATTTTTAGAGGGAACAAAAAGCAAACCACAGGGAAATCACAACATCCTTTATTGTTTTTCACATGCAAATTTTCAAAAGCTCCAGGAAAGCTAGATAAAAGGAGAGACCACATTCACTTAAGGCACCAGAAAACAAGCCAGGAACACACAGGGCGAATTGGAAAGGTCATCCAGAATTAAAAAAACTAGGATTGCTGCAATAAAAATTAGACTGTGTCAGCAAAATATATGTTGTGTAAAGCATGACAGGGAGAGACAATTTACCTATTTTTATTTTAAACTTCCTCATGAGCCAAAGCTCATTAAAATGCATATGTTGGTGACTAACTACTTACTGACTTCAGTGACATTCAATTCAGGCCAGGCTTTTTTCAGAGGAAAAAAGTTCTAAAACTATTCACATCAGTAGTTTTTGGCACTTGTTAGGCATCAACTTTTAAGTTACTATATAATCAGTAGAAAAAGAGAATTCTGACACACAAGCAATGCCATACCTTGAGTTCCTGCTTGGGCTCCACATTTTTAATGGTGGTGTAATAAATGTGGTGGCCGTACTGATAGGCCACCAGGTTCTGCTCCAGGTGATTTTGAGCTGGACGCACAAACATCATCCAGTTACACAGAGCCTCACTGGAAAGTTCAAACCACAAGTCCTCTTGCAAGTCTCGGTCTTTTCTGTCACACTTATCAAGAGAAACCTGTAGCAAAATCCAATTACATGTGACTGTAACTGCCTGCCAGCACATTCAAAAGAATTTGAGTTACTAAGAAAACTACTGTGCCCATGCACCTGTTACATTAGGGGAGCAATGAGGACATAGCTAATTTTCTCTCTTTACTAACACGGATCCAGAAACAAGCAGAAAAATATTTAGCAACAGGTAAAGATTAACTAGGGAGGCACAATGGATCCTTCCAAGGCTTTCAGGAACAAGAATCATTCATTAAAGGGATCAGGCATAGTATGAACAAGTGACTATAACAAATAACACACAAGTAGCTGTAGCTTCAGTAGGCTACAGAAACATCAGTCAGAAGTTTCTAACTGGCAGACCCACTTTTCCTTTCATTTCTTGAGTCATGACATTGCCTCAAGCAGGAAGCAGCATTTTTTTAGCTGAAATTCTCCTGCTGCCTATGGTCACAACTTGCTTGTCACACACTGACCATCAGAGCCCTCCTAAGACTGTGGATCTAAACTCAAACAAATAAAGGGCCAATATTTTTCTAGTGAAAGAGCAAATAAATGGATAAAAGTCACTCAAACCCATTTTACCCCATACCAATTACTTGGCAAGAGGAAAGGCATAAAAATATCTCCTCTCTCCTACATCTTATGAACAGAAAGGTAAGAAAAATATGTTGAACTGATGTTACAACACGACACAAAAGAATGGCTGCAGAACGTCCTCAGAAGGGGGTGCTATTTTTATGTCCAGATGCTGCTTCAGCTCATGTGAGAGTGAGTCACAGCCTTCCATGTTATGTACCCTATATATATATATCCTATCACCGTAATGCCAGAACATTCACCAGGATTAGTGTGTCACCCTGAATAACAGAGCAGATTTGAAGCCAAAACAATCTGGATATTTCTTAGTTACATTCAGAGATGGAAGCAACAAAATATCTCTAATGAATTGATGAAGGTAGAGTGACAAATTAATGAAAATCAAAGCTTAGGCACAAATTGATTTCCCCTTTTCTCACCCTTACCTTCAAATGGATATAGCAGTCTTTGAGCTCAGTCTGTCTGACCAGGGGTCCTTCCACAGGCCCAAACTGTGTACGCTTTGGGATGCGCCTTTTGGAGAACACACCTCCCAAAAACCTGTCTATATAGAGTACCAGGGGAAGGCTGGCCCTTGCCCTGGTCAGCACAGGCCGGTTTGGGATGGGATGCAAAGGTCCGTGTTTTGGACACACTGAGGGATGTGCGTTATTACACTCTTCACACCCTGCAACACAAAGGCAGAGAGGACATGACTTTTAGACAGACACTCACACACTAGCTCAGAGACAGCCTTATCTCTCTCTAAATAATCTTTGGCTCAGCTGTGGGAACACTTATGCCAATAGTCTGTCTACATTTAAAAATATTAGACAGGCCAGTGTCCAGCAAAATAAGAACAAATCAGCTCAGAGACTTCACTAAAGACAGAATTTTGTCTTTTCAGTCAAGCAGTCTAATTTGAATCCACATTTCTGGGAATCAAGACTTACATTTACTCATTACTGCTAAATTCTGAATGGTTTTTGCCTCTCTTTACTAAAGGTCTAATGGAGAGGGAAGGAAAAAAGGCGGGGCAGGTAGTACACTACACATGACTGCACATGCTTACACAAATCATTGGGATCAAAGGGTCGAGGTGGATCTGGATCCCACTCGTCCATGTCAGTGTCTTCACCATCTTCATCCTCATCTTCATCCTCATCATCTTCCTCTTTTGTTTCTATCCTTTCCATTTGATTCTGCAGAGGTGCCAAAGGATCAGAACCATCCACAGCCTCCATAGGAGGTAACACCTGGTTATGCACCGGTAACGATGCCTGAGGAGAGAATTTACAAACAATTCAAGCTGATTCACGAAGAAAACTACAAGGACAAGCAATGAGGGTCCTTGCTACTCTACCCTTCCGGCTGCCCCAGGAAATGGAGAGGAGGACAAGGGAAGGTGCTAAATGACTGCCAAGGGACGTTTTGCATGGCTGGCTGCTGCTCATGGCATCGCTCAAAACACCTGTATTACTCCCTGGCTATACCCTGCCAAGGACTCAGTTCTCAGAAGAAACTGAACTCAGAGGATGTTCTCGACCCTCACAGAAAGTTTAAAACCAAGTCCAGGCTCTGTGGATATTAAATGGAGCCTAAAGCTGTATTTTAATTTCTTTTGTACAGGTGAGAGAATCTGCACTTTGGCACACAATCTTCCCTTTACAATCCAGCAAAACCAATCTCCAGAGTACAAAGGTAGAGGTCAAGAAAGGGTGAGGTAATGTGGAGACTAGATATAAACTATGGGACATAAAGAACAGTTGAGGGCATTGCATTCTTCCACTAATTTTCAAGTTTAGTCCTTTCCTTCCTTAAAAGAACTGCAACATTTGAATTTTGGCACATATTCCATCACCCACACAGGTTTCTCAGGTAGAGAACAAGATACACTACACGCAGCAGAACTGTCTAAAAACACTGGCAAGGAAACCCAGTGGATGTTGCTGTGACAGTCAGTACTACACCTTCCGTTAACTTCACTTTTCAGCACTGACAGAATTTTAAGGTGGCTGTTCACAGAACCATCAGTGAAACAGGTTTCTCTGTATATTAAATACGATATCCTAAACCCCCATACATTCCATAGTGAGACTAGGGAAGACAGTGCAAATCTGCACTACAGCTTTCTCACATCTCCTCCCAGATCACTTAGCCACATTTCATCCCTAGAGATGATGGAGCAATGGAATCAGTGCGCTCTTACATGAAAAAGGAAAGGGTGCCTGGCAACTTACTCTATCTGCTTGTGGCCCCTGCTCCAGAGCCACTGGCTGGGGGGGGTCAGCAACGCTGCCGAGCACAGACAGGTTGGTGGGATTCATGCTCTGAGCAGCAGCAGGCAAGAGCACCGTTACCTAAAAGCACAGGCACTCATTTTAGCACTGCAGCATTTCCATCAGTCACTTAATACATGGGCAGGGCCCAGCATGCACAGTTCCCTTGAGCCCTGCACTCTACTCAAAAACTGCTGCATTCCCATGAGTTTTGGGGTTCAAACAGGGATGATGGGCTTGGACAGAACCTGCAGCTCCTGGGAGAAAAGAGAAAGACTTCAAATCTACACTTTGCAACTTCTGAATTACCTATTACACATTTTAAATTTAAGGTCCTGGGTTCAATTGCACTACAAACAGATGTTAGGAGCTCTTCAGCTCTTAGTAAAACCAGTGATTTGGGGGTCTCTTTTTCTTTACACCCAAATTTACTTTCGTTTTCAAGGGAAAAGGTAAAGAAGGACTAAAAAAATATTTCCTCTTTTTTTGACTTTTTCTTTCCTCAAGCAAACCCTGCTGATGGCTGAGGGGTTTAGAACTAGATAAGCTTTAAGGTCCCTTCCAATCCAAATCATTCTGTGATTCTATGATCCAGGATCCATAAAAACCAAGATGGTGTATTGACCTCATGAGAAGATCAACTTCTCAAATAGAGGATCCCAACAATTATTTTTCTTTACATTTGGTCACACTATACATTTTTGTTTACATACTTTTTTTAGTGCTGTAACAACCAAATTAATGCATATTACATTTTTTTTTAATTGCTGAATGAAAGCATTTACTTTGCTGAACAAAGTAAATAAATGATTAAATAAAACAAAACTAAGACCTCTAGGAATCACCTTTCCTGCATTTGTCTCCTGCTTATCTATACAGGAATTTGCATTATTTCGTGTGACTTTTCATCCTTCTCTACAGCTGATATCACATGGCTTTTAGTTTGTGTCTCTGACTGTTAAGCAGTTTTTATGCTAAAATCCAAGCTCTTGACTCTCTGCAAAGTGCTTAATAAATATCAGATAAAACTGAGAACAGTGCATTGGGCCAGTAGCAAAGGAGCAGACAACAAAATCCGTAATGTAAGTACTCAGTACTCCAAACTAGTTGCTTTGTTTAAAGAGATATTAAGAATAATTTATGAAACTCCTGAAAAACAACAGCAAAAAGACTTCAGGGAATGGTCCAACAGTGAAGAGGAAACCACCATGACAGTCTGGTATTGACACTTCTGAAGCCAAGTGGCATCATTTTTCCTGCAGTGTGTCAGCAAGGAGAGGGTCACACAGACATGGATCTGTTTGTACCCCCTATTAGCACTGCCTACTACTAATCACACCAAACATACCCTTACTTGCACTTCCATGTCAGGCACTGCATGGATTATGGGCATTATTTTTATAAACCTCTCACTTTATTTCTACAATAAAGTTTTTTTTCTGAAAGACAAGAGGAGCTTTAATTATTATTTTATTATTAGTTGTCAGTTCAGGAATGTCCCACATGATATGCTGATGTAAAAACAGCTGCAAAGGCAGGAGTTGACATAATGAGGGATTAACTGTTCACCAAAAAATTAATACATATGTTAGGACTGCTGTCAGACTGTGTTGGAATGGAGGACAGGCTGAGGACACACAGGTCAGTGCTTCTGGAATAATAACAGCAGATCACCTCTGCTGTAACTGCCATCTGCACTGCTTACAAATAATCTATTTTTAATTAATCATATATTTGTTAAATGTGCTTTAAGGCAATTAAATAGGTATTTCTGGCTCCTTGATGCAGGGAAATTGATGGAGCAAAAAATTCCAGAACAAAACTCCAGAGAAAAATGAAAAGACAGGTAACACCTTTATTGTGTCAGTCATTGCTTCCCATCTGTGCCTCAACCATTTAGAACGTTTTTTAGCAAGAAAATTTGTTTTCAGCACAGATTCAATCCCTCACTCTGCCCCAAGACTGTCAATAAACACACATTTTAATGATGGCTTTGGTGATGATTCAGATCTAGTACATCCACATGTAATTAAAAACCCACCAAGCAGTAATGATTTTAAGTCTATGACAAGCAGAAAATTTCAACCACGAATCTGAAAGCACCTGTCTACAGCTGATTATCACAGCACCGTCCCCAAAGATACCAGTAAGAGTTAATAACAACTTCCCCGTCCATGATGGATGTAAAAAGAATAAGGAAAAATCATCATAACCTTATAAACACAGGCTGCAGTTTTCTTTTTCTCCCTGCCCACCTCACACTGGCAAGCCTAGCACACCTGATAAGGGAGCCAGTCACTGAACTTCTTCAGGTTTCACACTTAATTTCCTGTGATGTTTCTAGTAAACCTAGAATTTAATCCAATTTTTCTATCCCTCAACAACCTTCTGTGGACTCCAAGGCATTTGGATCAGAACCTGTAAGAGGACAACTGAAAACCCCACCTTTCCAAAATGGCACATTCAGATGACATCAGCCACATCTGCTGCAGGGATACTGTTGAAAGATTTTTTCATGCTATCTGGGGCAGTAAATTGGAATTCTTGTTCAATATGAATTAAAGAGAATAAACTCAAAATAATTCTTAACTTTTACTGTCATTAGTGCTCAAGGTGATCACAGGTCTTGATCAGGGTGACAGCAAAAGACTAAGATTGTCACTGGACAACTTCAAAAACAGCTCATTACCCTCATGCACCACATGAATGTCCCTTTACCTTCCCTCACTGTTCCCTCACAATTTTAGGCACAAAATGAATAAAATCTCTTCCTTACCTGCTGGGTGGTAGCATCCTGTTGGACGTAAGCCACTTGGGACGGATCTGTAAACAGAGTCTAGACAAAGTGAAAAAGGCTTATCAAACCAGCCATGGGGGTTTTTACTCCCAACTCACACAAAAGTTATCTGCCACTATGAAACAACCCACATTTGAGCCTTTGTCAGCTTCTAACCTGCCTGTTACCACAGCAAACTACTTCAACTCACCCAAGTAGACCTAGATACATAGAAATTTAAAATTAGGTAATGCTCCATAAAGACTTAATATATTTATGTAGCACTTTGCATCTGTACAGCTAAATTGTTTCACTTTTTTTTTTTTTGTTTCTAATTTACCAAAATCACTTTGTCAGTTGTTGATTTGATAAAATCTACAGGATGAAATTCAATATCTCTGTCTATGGCCTTAATGTGTAACACTTAAAAGCAGGATAGAAAGTAACTGCAAGCTTTTTCTTCCTGAAAATTCACAAGACTGCTGCATGCATTCTTTTGAGAAACTATCATGCACATCCTATATAAGACTTTGATATGGCCAGGATGCTGTTTAATTTCATAGAAGCCATGCCAATTTCAATATTCTGCAAGAACAGCCCTGACAGAATCCCAGGAAAAGCAACACTAAGGATTGACTGAGGCCAGCCTTACTTAGCCAAAACTTGAAACATGTGAGCTTGCAGCAGCCTGGCTACAATAAAATAAAGCATGATATAATACAAATTCCTTTAGCACTGTGATAATTTCATCTCAGATGCAGAAGAGTGTCTGAATACTGCACATCTTTTGACACAATGACAGCATTCAGAGTTTTGGAGTTAGTTGGCAAGTAACTTCCTGGGAGATATCCTCTCAGGACATCCCTTCACATAGAAGCTGGTTTTCTGGGACAGCTGAGGGCTGCACAGGACACAATGTGCCACATGAGGCCCTGCCAGCATGATGGGAGTGTCAGGTACGTGCACTTTGCAGCACAGCTAATCTGCCCTGTCAGCAAAGATATTATAAAACACTCTGGACAAAGCCAGCCTGTTCCTTTTTAATCTGTCCACACCGAGGCAGAGATGCATAGCATATTGACCCCATATAAACATGTGTTGCAAGGGAATAAAGGCTACTTGATATAATTATGCAGAAGAAAATGAATATAAAAGGTCTATAAAATCAGCAACTCTGAAGAGACCACAAAATTACGTTGAATAAACAGAGATGCTCTGCAAAAAGACACGACTGTTATTGTAACTATCAATTATGACAACTGTACTACACAAAACAAAGATTCTTCCAGAAGGAACATAGATGGCTCTTAGCCTTTTACTGGATACAAGAGGCAGAACTTCTGGTGAGATTATCCTTGTTCTGGAAAACACCTTTGAGTAAATTATAATCTCATCCATCTTCAGTGAAGTAACCAGCATTTCATAATTCATAGCCTCACCATCCTTTGATAAGCAGATTTGCACATCAGACAAATGAACAGCATGAAGTCCCTGCTCAACAGTGGGCAGAGAAAACTGCTGGGAGCGACTGCCTGCTATTTTCCAGTCATACCACTTGGCTGGTAACTGGCCTTCATCCCAAATAAGACTGTTGTGTTTTCTAGGTGCCAAAACCAGGGTGGGCTCAGAACCACACGTGCCTGCGTAGCTTCCACGGGGTGGATGTAAACGAGGGTGTGCTCCGAGGTGTCCACAGAGGTGTAGGAGGTGCCGTCAGCCGTGTAAACCACCTGCTGTGCAGGGCCGCGCTCCTGCTCATCACTGTACATGATCTGGGCCACTGCCCCCCCCTCGGGGACAAAGTGCACCTGGGGAACAAACAGATCCTGGACTCGCACCAATACAGGCCAGTGGGACACAGCACCAGAGTCATGGGGTGCCTCAGAAAGCAGAGAGAACTTGTGTCCCAGCTAATCTGAATGCAGTGAAAAACACATATTTCAAATCTCACTCAATTATTCTACCAACAGAAATCTGGACACAACATCCATCAGTGTCTGTTTTTACCTTGCATTGCATCTTAAGACGTAACTGCTACAAAGGGCACCCACACATACTTAGTTCTTGCGTGATGCTTCGGAAATTCGTAAGGGAACAAGTTCCCATTTGAACTGATGTATCTATTAAATGTACTGGGATATCGTTTCCCTTTATGCTCATATCCCTTTCAGGATTTATGATAATTACTTCATTCAGCTAGTTCTCTAGTTGGAGGTAATTTTCGCTGTCTGATGAGAGGCTAACGGAATTTATTAACTCTGATACTCCTCAAGATGTAGTATTGCAGCTCTCACAGTCAGCAGTAGGGCATATTAAACTGCTTCTCTGCAGTATCTATGTGCAGCATCAGTAGAAAATTCAACTATTTAAACAGACAAACCTATACCTAAAAATATCAAGCACAGATTCCAAGGACCACTGGAACAAGTTATGTCTAGGGCTGCACTTTAAATCTAAACAACTAAATTTTACCAGAACATTATGATCATAACTGGTGATATTGATAATTAGTATATTAATATGTATTATATTATTAATGATTATTTATAATTGTAATCATAACTGATTACTGTGATGATGGCCTATATTAAATGAGCCAGAATACTGGATTCCAGTGAAAACAGGATTATCTTTAGATTTTGCCATCCTTTACATGCTGAAAAGCATTTTCAGTGCATGGGAAAAACAGGACAGTGAGGAGGAAACCTAGTTTGAATACAAGTATTCATAGTCACATAAAATTCTTTCACATAAAATGATACCACAGTTACATAATTTGCTTATTTTGTTTCACTTTTTAGCTTATGCTTCAGAAGACACCTGGTACTTCCCCCTGAATGCTCAGTGCTGATTGTGTACAATAAATCTTCTGACAAACACTACAATTTCACATTTGGAAAGCACTCTGCACACATTCATTAAGCCTTAAAACTGCCATGTGCAAACAGCAGCATGGTTACCCCATTGCAGAGAGAAGGGAACACAGGCCATTTAAAACTGCCTTTCTTTGCAAATTTCAAAGCTGGAAATTACTAAGAGAGGCAGAATTTCTCTGCTTGTGGGTCAAATATCATGCAGCACCCTTTTCCTATCATACTTAAAAGAGTAAATCAATTTACAGAATTCTAGAAATTCCCAGTTGTGTTGTCTCAGAGGCAGAGGGACAAGCTGTATACAGCAGAACCTGAAAGAATTAAAACTGCAGAATTAAAACTGCATTAGTCACTTACAATTAATATTTCCCCCTTCCTCACTACCCAGATGTCTGGCTGGAAAAAATTACTTGTATTACTTTCCCCAAGGTCCACCCACAGTTCCATCTGATTCAAATGATGCCATCAAAAGCGGCTGCCACAGAGCACAGATTTTGTTCATTACTCTTAACACCCTTTATTCTCCCGCACAGTAATAAACATATTTGGACCCTGAAACTTCTAAAGCCACTGCTTAGTTTTGTTCAACTCATTTCAGAGCTCTGTCTCTTCACTGCTGCGGTTTGCACAGTTCAGTTTCTGAAGCTTTAACCCTAAATCACCACAGAAATGTTTGTACTTCTGCTCAAATGAAAACTGAGCTTCTAGACTCTAAATCAGGATTGAATGGGAACTAACCCTCCTCACCAATCCCAATCCAGCCCAAGCAGAGGCGAAGCTCTGGCTAATCACCTGAGCAGTACTCTGTTCCTGTCCTGCAGATTCAGTCCACACCTGAGGACTTTCCTCTTTCAAGTCCATCTCCTCCCTGCCTGTGTGCTCCATGAGGAGGAGGAGACCTACTGGAGTAATATCCGGCTGAAGGGATTCATCTGTTCATTGTGTTTCTGCTTCCAGAAGACAAGGTGATCTTCAGCAACATGGCTGTAAAAAAACAGAGAACAGAAACATTAAAACCAGCATGACACATGGCATGGAGCTATGAGGGATTTATTATAAAATACAGAGTAAATACAGAGTAAAGCAGGTTTGGCTTTACAAACGCCTCCTACAAGACCCAAACACTCAGTTTCTGAAGCTTTAACCCTAAATCACCACAGAAATGTTTGTACTTCTGCTCAAATGAAAACTGAGCTTCTAGACTCTAAATCAGGATTGAATGGGAACTAACCCTCCTCACCAATCCCAATCCAGCCCAAGCAGAGGCGAAGCTCTGGCTAATCACCTGAGCAGTACTCTGTTCCTGTCCTGCAGATTCAGTCCACACCTGAGGACTTTCCTCTTTCAAGTCCATCTCCTCCCTGCCTGTGTGCTCCATGAGGAGGAGGAGACCTACTGGAGTAATATCCGGCTGAAGGGATTCATCTGTTCATTGTGTTTCTGCTTCCAGAAGACAAGGTGATCTTCAGCAACATGGCTGTAAAAAAACAGAGAACAGAAACATTAAAACCAGCATGACACATGGCATGGAGCTATGAGGGATTTGCAGAGTAAATACAGAGTAATACAGAGTAAAGCAGGTTTGGCTTTACAAACGCCTCCTACAAGACCCAAACACATTAAGTTATGGGAACAAAGGAACAAAAACCTTATCTCACTGAGCATGGTCAAGTCCTACTAGTCACCACTTTCCCTATCCCATTAAGGAGGAAACAAATCAACCATTGCACCAATTGCACTGAAAGATTACGCTGAATTCTTCCTTGGCCACAGGCCATCTACACCACCTTCTCCTCAGTGTTCTTCTGGCACCTAGAGGCCTAGAAATAATGCAAAAAATGGACCTGATTCCAACAAGAAAACACTATGTTCAGAGATGCATCACCAGTTCCTCAGTTTGCCTGAATGAGATTTTGTTTGAGCACCAACTAGTTTTTCATGTACAGACAGATTTGACCTTGGACAAAACCCCAGTCCCAGGTTAGTACAGTGTTACAATAGCCAACTAAAAAAGAACAACGAAACTTAAACTCTCAAAGAGCCCAACAAACTGCTTCCAAGCTTGGTTTAATTCACTTCTTGCAATTTTACTGGGGCCTCTCAATCTGCTGTTACGATCCCAGAAGGGTAATTTACAGCTCTGGTGACTGTTTGAGTCCGTGGTTCAGCACCTTCCCAATCCTTCATCTCTAATGTCATATTAAATCACAGGCCAGGAATTAGCATGAGGCTGAGCCCATTTCATTTCTCAGCTACTCCAATTAACTTGATTTTATATCCAGTACCTTGCTGGGCTGATCCAATGCCAGCACCCATCTGTGCACCAGAAAGGAAGCAGAAGGCTCCTTGCTGATGCTTTCATTCAATTGCATTTTAAATGCAAATTATTTTAGTCATAATTTATCCCTATAAATGCTAGCATTTGGTTTGCCATTGACAAACTGAAAAATAGATAAGGAGAGGTAAAAAAAGTAGCAGGCACTTTCTAACTCCTCCTAATTTTGCCAGCAAGGACTAAGCTGTGCAGACCTGAGCACTGACTATTCCACTGGGCCTGACCCGCATGGATAAATCATCAGGGCAGGGAAGCCTCAGGCTAATGTCACTGAATTGTGTGGTGGAGCAAAAAAATCATATTACTTACATATAGACAACGAAAAACAGTGGGAAAGATATTTCTGGGCATTGCTAGACACCAAGTCTTGCTGCTACTGGTGACTGGAGTTAACACTTGCTGTCTCACGCTGAGCAACCCAGCACATGAGCCCTACAAAAGCACACATTGAGGAACTGTTCTTTCTCTTATATCCAAACACTTCCAGTTATGGGAATACAGGGACAGAAACCTTATCTCCATTAATATTGCTTGATACAAAACATCCCCAAAAACCACTTAGGAGAAAAATTAAAATAAAATCTACATACCAGCATTCAATGCCTGAGCTTAGTATGAACAAATTAACTGCAGCAAACATGAGTGATAAACACCAGGCTTGTTCTCTAAATGTGGAAGGTCAGGGCAATTTACAGATAAATATTATTTATTTATATATCCAAGTGCACAAATGCTCTGATCTATAAAAAATACCATCCATCGCTACACAGAACCTTTCTTGTTATGTTTTTAAGGATTAAAGTAGGGATTTTCTCATATCTAATCCTACCTCATTCACTGACCTCCTTCACTCATTTTATCAGGTATAGGTTCTTTATTCAGAACATATATAAATGTATACATATATCAGGTATATGATCACCTCTACCTGTGCAAAATGTGAGAGCATTTATGTCAGTAACACACTGTGAACAACTTCTTGGCAAAATTTAACACCTATCCTGTTGATAATCTTCAGCTGGTTTATCCACAACAGCTCTTTTCCTAGACTGCCAGTATTAATCAAGAGCCAATTCAGGTAATTGCACTAACAGTAGCCGGTAGTTTAATCAATTACCTAACTGCTCAGAAAACTAAAAATAAAAAACAAACATTAGAGGTTCCACTTTGGGGTGGTTTGCCTTTAAAAAAAATCCTATTAAAAAGAAAGCAATTACATTACCTACTAATTGAATTAAGGGAAAGGCACAGTTCTGGCTAATTCCACATGATGCAACAAGTAGAATTTTTGGCTGACCTTCCCCACCAGCAGACAATGAAGGTCTGAAGGAAGATGCTGACTCACTCCTGCAGAGTCATTTTGGCACAGATAACTTACAACTTGAGTACAAAGGAGACTGAAGGGCTCAGGCAGGGTCTTTAAAAGACAAAACGGGGAATTAAGATTCATCTCTGAAAAAAGAAGTACCAAAAAGTTGGAAAGAAAAGCAAAAGACAATCATTTCATGGTTCTGAAAGTTAGCACTAACTTAAAATCTTGGGGGAAAAATAAAGCAAGGCTGAACCAAATTCAGTGCCCCAGTGCTGCAGATTCTATAAACAATCTGGTCATTGCTGTTCTTGACAGAAATGAAACTAATACACAGCTCAGCCCAGCCAATTGTGCAGCAATAAGGAACAATAGCAGTAACTGCAGGATTTACTGATGCTTTCAACTTCTGTACTTCCAAATTCATCCTAGGATTGACCTCTGGTATGCATTCCCTCAGTACATCTGTAATCATGAAAACACACTGAAAAGCACATTTCCCTGGAAACATGGATGGGCTGAGAAAGAAGATAATGCAAGAGGAGACAGGCTGTGTCCCAGAGAGGTCCCAGGGACAGGCAATATATAGGGCAGGAGGCAGGAGCAAATGTTGAAACTCACCTGTGAAATAAGCCCTGCAGTCAAGCCCAGAAGCTGGAAAAATCTAACCCAAAGTCACTGACAATAGAACTGCCACAAAACACCAACACCTGAGCAAGTTTTCTGACACTGATGACACGAAGATCAAACTAACTTTACTCACTGATCATTCATAGGATGCTCCTCCTCGTTAATTCTGCACAATCTTATTTCCTTCCCTAGATTCCGCTCGCAATTCCCTGTCTTGACACTGACAGCCACAGTGTCTCAAAATTTTAACTACTTCCCTGTGGTCTTCTCTCAGCTTTGGTAGTTTTTTAGCAGAAATAAATGTGAAATTTTGGACATAAGCACTGCCAAATCACTGGCATGCAGGGAGCGCTCTCTGCTTGCTCTGCACACTGTTCACCTATGGATTATCCTTTGCAATTGTTGATTTTTCTCACTGTATTGAACACATCAGACATTTTCAGACAAGCTAAATAAACACCAAGGCATGCACCTCAATGGGAAGCTCTGCTGTGTCCAAGGGATTACCATAAGGATCTGTGTAATAGAAATTGAAACTCAATTGCAGAAATCCTAAAAGAAAAAAAAGATAATTAAATATAAAAGGCATTGTGATAGGATAAACTCTTGTAAGTTCTTACTTTTCTGGAAGTTGAAAGATTAGTCAATTATGACACATTACCCAATAGTCACCCAAAATTCCAGCAGCACCCCAATACTTTCACACAATCCAATGAGCATCACAAACATGAGCAAGAAGCAATGCCAGTGGGAGATGTTAAAGCATTTACAGTAACTGCAGACACAGCATTTTCCTCCACAAATAACAGGCATGCCTCACCCTGTCTGTGCTGGGTGATGACACAAGCTGAAACAGTAACTGGCATTACTAAAGAGTACCAGTACAGTCCAGTACCACTCCAGTAGGGCAGTGGTGAGGCAGTGACAGTCCAGTGTCACCATATATAGTGCAAATCATGACACAACAGAATTGAAGAACCAGCACAGCTCCTGTGACTTTGAAATATCTCCTCTAGTGGAACATTGGCTCATTCTGAGCTGTGCAAATAAATTAAACATCCCTTCAGGACAACACAGGTTTTTCTCAGAACACCATTCACATTCACTTTCCTTTTCTCAACACGTTCTGGGACCTGCTGCTGCCACAGACCTATGGCCATCTCTCTTTAGTTTTTGCATTTTACATCAAATCCAGAAAATTTCATTAATGACAAAACTTCTCCTCTGCTGCTCCTGATGCCTCGAAAGCATCTTTGTGTCATTGTCTGACAGTTCTTAATTTTTTTTTTTTTTTTTTTTTTTTTTTTTTTTTTTTTTTTGAAATCTTACTTAAAACCTCCTTTTGACCTTGGCAACACTCTCCAACTCCTTCCTCCTGCTCCTCCGGGATGGTGTTTTCTCTGGAGCTCTATTATTAAGTCAGCAGCTTCCCCATGAACTGCATTCAGCTCCAGAGGATGGGAAAGCATTGCTCAGAGGGCAAAGCACCTCATTGCCTATCCAACAGCAATGTCCTTGTTAGCTTTGCTGCCTCAGCATTAGACAGCCTGGGCCACCATAGCTCCACGTGTATCCCCTCACAGGTGCATCCATGATCCCCCCCACAAGCACACAAGAGTGAACGGTGCTGTAAGAGAAAACCACTACAGTAAAATCACTGTTGGCTCGTGTTTGGTATCTAAGTGTTTTAAACACAAGTTAAACCCAGTGAACTCACCTAGGGCTTCAAAGGTAAGCTCTCAAAGTCAGGAAAAACCACCACCAAAAAAAATTAGAATCAACAATAACCATATTTTCTTGGCAAACTTGCTATTAAAGAATGACCATTTCTTTCAATGCTGTGACTACACAAGAATATACAGAGACAAAAATCTCTGGGGACTTCAGCTGCAGCAACCTCTGTGAGGCTCACTAAGGGCATTCTGCTGAAAAATCCAAGCCAGTGGCTGCCAAACACTCTTTTTTCCCCCTAACCTGGGATGAGAAAGGAGGAATATTAAAGCAGAGCAAGGGGAAAAGACCACCTCCTTGCTCAGAGAGGAATAAAGCCACTCAGTATCTCAAATGAGAATCCCCTTTACATATAATAATGGTGCATAAACCAGCTAATGTGATTTACTTCCCAGTGTAAAAGAGTCTTGCCACAGCCTGAGGTTCCCTGCAGCAATAACAGCAGGGACTATCGGCTTAATCCTCTCACGACTGAGCTCTCTGACAACTGTATGTCACCCCAGCCATGTGCAAGGGCACCAAGATTGGTACAAAAGGGGTTTTACGACTCTGAGTCTTCCTCCAGCTTTTAATATGAAAGTGATTTATTATGCCCAAAAGGAACATCACATTTGCCTGCAAAAAGCTTTATCCACACTTAAACTCAATTATTCTAGTTTGCCTAGAAGGCAGAGTCAGTGCATTTCCTGAGATCCTTTAGCAGGAACGTGCTTTCGCTGCAGCAAGAAGGTTTCTAACCTCATTGAGGACTGACTCAGGACTGTTGTCACCTCTTCTGCATTCCCATTCATCACAGGCAGACACTGTTTCAAGGAACTGTGGCCCTGGTGCATTTTGTGTGAGTGTTATCAATCAGGTAATGTAAAACCACATTATTTATGTTTTACTGGTGAGTTAAAAATGGAAATCATACTAGGGCTGGGACAGCAAGAATTATTAATCTCCACAAAGAGAAAACTGGCTTCAATTTATTTTGTCATATAATAAATAGAAGAGCTCAGCCAAACACGAACGCACTCTTTGCTGCCATTGTACATAATGAATCTATATCTTTATGGCACATCCATCATCAAAGCAACAATGAGCTGGAAAAGATCTCTTAGACCAAGGCCAGTCCTCTGCTAGACATCACATGTGACAGTCCTTTTCCTAAAAGGACAGTGCCCAGGCACTGAAGGTGACAGCACAACAGTCTGGTATAACTATTCTCTCACAACTTATCAGGTAAGTAGCTGAAAAGCCATTTCTACCACAGAACACAGGAGAGAATCCAGCCTGAGCACAGGTTAACATCCTCCTGGGAACTACCAAGGCTGTGTTTAGATACCTACTCAAGAGATGCTCCAAGGACATCTCTCTTGAGTCCTAATTCTTGTATAATAAAGTATTTCTCACACTGTCCTCTCTCTCAGTGAGCAAAAACTCAACTTCATTACTTTCCACATATGCAAATCTCTTCTTTAGTCACCTCTCTTCCCATTTGCTCAACATGTACATGTCTACTCCAGCAACTGATTTCTTCCTCCCACCCTCAGCTTCCTGAATCTATGGCCACATTCCCATGTTGTCTTCCCAATGTTTCATCCTCTGAGGCCCCTGTGATATCATGGCTGTTGAATCACACACTGCAGTTTTTGGGCTCCAGCTGCTCGAGGCAGTGACCGTGCCTTCCTAAAGGATTTGGTTTATAAATCACAGAGAGAGAAGTCTGATAAAGCAAGACAGAAGGGAATACATGCATTTAAAGCATAGGATGACACAAAAGGAAAATAAATGTCTGGATCAGTGTCTTCTACAGTTCTGCCCACACAACCTTCAAGATGGCTCTATTAGGGGTTACTGAAAGAAAACAAACCATTCCCCTCAAGTTTCTTCCTGCCAATTTTTTATCTCACATCCCTTCTCCTCCTCCAGTAAACGCTTTCCAAAAGAACTGTCAGCTGAAGGGGATTCTTCCCCTTCCTACAAGCAGGTGGTGCTGCTTCCTCTCTCCTTCTCCCACCCCCCCCCCCGCCCTTGCACCTCTCCTCTGAATTTAAATCACCTGTTCCCCCCCCCCCCCCCCCCCGCCCTTGCACCTCTCCTCTGAATTTAAATCACCTGTTGTAAAATTTAAAAAAATAAAACTACCTTGTTTCTGCACACAAAAGCACATACCTGAGATGGCTCCTTCAGAATAGCTGCTGCTCTGCACTACCCCAGAGAACCAATGAACTATCTGCACCTTTAAACAGGTGGGAACTGACATATAGAGCCATTTCAGGGCTACAATACATCTGCATGTTTTACTAGCAGGAGATAAAAGCAACAAATAAACCCAATCTCATGTTCAAGTCCAAACAAAATTCACCATAAAATACCAACCCACTTAATTAGATACACTTAGAAGTCCATTAGAATTCAGTGTACACAGCTGCCAGCAGCTGCAGGTGGCCAGGAACACACTGGAAACAGCTGCTCACTGCAGAGCAATTTACCTCAGTAGAGCTCATCCAAGGATTTTCTGCAAAGGATAGGACTAAGGGTGCCAGAGGAGGGCAGATAATACTACAGACCCGTTTCTCCCCAAAATCAAATTTTCAATTATTCTATCAGATAACAATAATACCAACTACCCCGATATCTTATCCTATAAACAAGATAACGAAACTGTCTCTTTTCGCACAAGAGAGGCATCCATGAACCAAAATGCCAAAAGCCATCACAATTTCAGAGAGAAGTTTTCCATTTAAGGACAGACCAGAGCAATACACACTCCTGCACTACTTTTTCTAGAAATGAAGGCATTAGAAGGCTCAAGACTGCCAATTATTTTATTGTGTTCACAAAAGATGAAAAGAATCCACTTGTAAAATCAGCTGGTGATTCATTAGCATCTCATATTCTAACTGAACTACAAGAAAAAAACCCCTGAATTATTAAAAATCTGATAAAAGCAAAAGTTCAGTATAGTCTCTATTTCTATTGAAACTCACAGGGAAACATTGATAGGCATTTCACACACCCAGCTTTGCACTTGATCATTCTTTCAAGGCCTGTAAGAACCGTCAATTTAGAACTATATAGTGATACACTAAACAGGTTGATGCTGAGGTACCAAAAAGTGCATCACAAATACTGACCCTTCATTTTACTGTCAGGACTATGACTACTGTCTGTAGCCTAAACCAAGTTTAAATTGCAAATTAGGGACTCTGTAAGAGCCCTCTTGAGGCTCTGCAATGTACAGCTGAGAGGTAAAAGGTGACCACACATAGCTCTTGTACAGGGAAATAACCCTAAAAATGTGAATTATTCCTTTAGGATGAGTAATTTTGAAACTCACAGCATCAGGACCTCGTTCTTCCATTCCAACTCAACCATTTAACAAAGTCACATAACCCCATTTTTAATGGAACTGGGGCACAGGAGGGGAAACGGGACAACTCAACAACAACACCCACAGAGCAAGAGCCACAAGATCAAGCATCCACTTGTTATGACCATACCAAGGCCACAGGGAACAGGGTCTTTGGCACCAAGACCACTGTCAGGAGACCAGTGAACCCCACAGCTTCCACCTGCGGCAACTGCTGTTACGCACACCAGGATGTCATGAATAGAACCCGCTCAGGACAGTGGGGAAGGACCTAACTTCCCTCAACACCAAGCCTCAGGGCCACCCAGCCAGGAGCCTTGCCCTGTTGGGGCCACACAGATGCCCAGTAGGCCCCCCGGGGCAAGACAA